GGAATGGTCACAACTAGGTCTTAATTTTGGGGTGGGTCTTATATTCAGGGAAACAGGGTATATTTGCACAATAGTCCGTGTGCGGAGGGAGTGGTGGGGTGGGATGGGATGGAGGCCTACCCTGTTTCCCTGAAAATAAGACCTAGTACTATTTTTGGGAATTGCTAAAATATAGGACCTGCCCCGAAAATAGGACCTGCCCCGAAAATAGGACCTGCCCCGAAAATAAGACCTGCCCTGAAAATAAGACCTGCCGGTGACCATTCCCAGGGCCGGTGGTGGCATAAGAGGGAAGCTTGAAGAGCTGCGGCAGAGAACCAGCGGTGCCAACGAAGCCGGCGCTAGAGGAAGCGAGGCGGCACCGGAGGGAGCAGAGCCGCATTAGCCGACGCCTCCTCTATAGCCCCGCCTCCTGTCATAGGTGGAGCGATACCAAATGCGCTCCGCCTGTGAGGAATCCATAGTGACAGCGCGCTTCCCCCATCCTGGCCAGCGATTGGTTACCAAATTGCTCTTGGGGAGGTACGGCACCCCCGATCACCGTATTTTTGGGGAAACACAGCACTGTCCTGTAATTCATCTCTGCACATGGGGATATGTGGGGTCCGGTGTAATCTGTGGGGCTCTCCCGCCCCGTGTATCGGGAACCACTGTCGGCGTTCTTCAATACCGCGTGTGCCGGCTGACAGGCTACACCTCCATAGCCGTCCGCGGCGTTATCTCTGCATCATAGTTCCTGATATTGAACATCTGCTTCCCTTTTTTCTTTCTCTCAGCGGAGAAATTGGAAAATACAGATGTGTGCAGGGAAGAGGACCTGTCCATCAAGATTGGCATGTTGAATGGGGGCAGCAGAATTGACTATGTCCTACAAGAGAAGCCAATTGAAAGCTTCAATGAGTATTTGTTTGCCCTGCAGAGTCACCTATGTTACTGGTGAGTATCGCATTTCGTGAGGGACATGTTCTCCAGGACGCAGGCCTGGCAGCCGACATCCCAAAAGCAGTGGCGTCGCAAGGGGGGTGCGGCTCGCACCCGGGTGACACCGTTGGAGGGGTGACAGCAAAAGTACTTAGTCATTTTGCTGTCACCCCCCTCTTGAAAAATCGGGCGCTCGGTCATGGACCGAACGCCCGACAGTATCAGGAGAGAGGAGGGGACCCGGCGGCATACCTCATCCCGCCGGGTGACTGTCTCCTCCTCTCTCTCTGCCGGCGTCCATCACCAAGATGGCCACCGGCAGGTATTAGAATACGGCCGCGTGTGCGCGATGACGTCATCGCGCACGGTAAAGTCTCGGCGGGGTGACACTCGGACACCGCTCC